ATTGGTGAAATTGGACGAAAAAACCTTTATTAAATAATTGTAGTAACTTTATTTTGTTTATAGAAGGCAATGGGTTTATTATTATTATTGTTTTTATTATTATAATTATTATTACTGGGCATTATTATTACATTTATTTTCCCGCCAAAATATACCATTTTCCCGCTCAAACCGACGCGTGTGCGCAATCGCTATCTCTGTTCTCTCTTTTTCTATAGTTTGTTGAACAACGAAATTCTTTTCAAAACTCTGTTTATGTTTACCTTGAAATAYTACAATGATATAGAAAACGTTGATATTTTACCTCTTAAAAGACTTGCAGCCCATAGCTGGACGTAATTATCGGGAATTTTGGCAGAAAGTTGCATCGCTGGCAAAACCATATGAAGTGCTTCCTAAAAACGAAGCATGAAACGTTAGAGATATATGAAACTACAGCAATATTGATTCAAGATTTCTTCGATATTTCTGGGTTAAGTTGAAAAATATAGTACTCAATAGCTAGTTAAACCTTTTATTTAGCATTTGTTTGGGTAATTTTGAGACAAACCTGAGGGTTTCCTGATGCTAAAAACGTGTGTCCGAGAAGAACAAGAGAACACGCCGTCAATCTGTTGAGGTCTTCTGTGTTTGCGATCTTTAAAGTTTCTCTAAGGTACTTTCTGTACAAAASATTAGAAAACAAAGAATAGTAAAACCACTTATATTGACTTTACTCGGCCTATGAATCATAGTCTAATACTAACATATTAGTAGACACCAATTTTTATTGACTTTGTTTGAAATCTTTTGTTTTACTTTGACTGTTATTTCATTAGCCAAGTAAAATTGATCTATAAATATTGTAACTTAGAACACAAAAAGGTAAGAAAAAGTTGGAAATGAAAGATAAAAGAAAAGAAAATTTTAAAGTAAACTTGCAAATTTATAAGGGTGAATAAAGGTAAAAAAAGATTTACTTTGCATCTTGGATTCTGCTTTCGAAGAAGGCTCTCAGACCACAYGCGTAATAGTAGCCTGCTTGTAAGTTGTGAGAACTGGAATATACAAACACATTCAGATGCATTCATAGAATATCTTAACGTACAGAAATGATTACGTTGTTTTTTTGGTAGTAGGTTAAAGTAGGGTGATTAGGTACTATATATATATTAACGTGTTGTTGTGGAAGTTGGGTGTATTGAGGTGTGGTAAGGGTGAGGTGTGATATGGTGCTACGAGCGTGATGTGATAAATGGTAGTTTATGTTTGTACTCTTACGTTATTGGTAGATTTGATGGGTGTATTCTCTGATGGACAGTTGCCAACTAAAAAAAGAGAAGAAAAAAAAAATAGTATCAGCTACGTATGAAATACAGAAATTGAAACAAAATGTAATACTCAGCTCTAAAAAATAATCTCACCTCGTGTTTTTTACTTTCTCCTGCACGTACGTAAATAATCGTTAGATTTAAACCAATGAACGTTGCTAGTTCCGGTCTGGGACATAGCTGAAATAAACAGAAAGATTGGCGTAAATAGCCTTAGCATAACGACCTAACGCTGTGCCAGTCTTGTGGTTGAAGTTAACTGTACCTTTAATGCCATGTTGAACTGTGCGCTGGCTTGTTCCATTAGATTCATTGACATCGCATACAAACCCTAGAAATGAAAATATCCTTTTATTTCAGCCTGGAAGTTGTTTCA